ACATCAATTTTTAGCTGAAGTTATACTCCAGATTTCCAACCTCAAATTGAGACTCATTTTTAGCATAGTAAATATTCGAATTGAAAAAATAATATTTCTAGAGAAAATGTAACTCTTTAAGTTAGCTTTTCAATACACTTTAAATCGCCTAAATCGGATATCGAGAAAGAAAGTTATGACAAAAATACTGACAATCTCTCAGGATCATAATCAAGTGCTTGCATGGTACAAATTTCATGTGTGCGCATGACCCTTTTGTACGCTTTAGTGAGGCGAAAAATGATATCCATGCATAGGCATGGAAGATTACCTTTCGGACGCATGGTAGTCTTCCGAAGGAAAGAGTTGCTTTCCTTTCCAAACTTCATCTCTTATTATCTTACTATAAAACGTGGAAAATACTTACAGCAGGGATATTACATATTATATCATTGAAGCAAAGCTTTATAATAGTTTTACAGATAATTAACACAAGAAGTTAAAGATTCAAGGCTCAAATCGAAGGAAAAGTTCAAGATATTGATTCGTCAAGCTTCTACATCTATTATTTGAATTGGATGGTGTCTTTTACTAACTTTTTGTGTAATATAAATAAAATATTTAGGCTAATTCTTTCTTGATTTGTATAAATGATGAAACCATTAGTCGTGTGTTTTTTATTTATTGAATTGATAGTTTAGTTAATTCTTGTATTGGTGATTAATTATGCATTATTATTTGATTGTTTAGCTACCATTAGATAACTTGTTACGTATTATAGTGTTAGGAGACTCACATAGATTAGAACATTACATAATTGACACAAGCAATAAATATTCTGAATAACATTTGTGGCATATGCAATCTAATGTGATAATCGTGTGGTTGAATGCATCTCATTGTCTATGAATTCGGATTAGGAATAAGGTAGAGTCATGCTTAGGATAGTTTGGTTTATTGTGAAAAAGAAGATTAAACAATATAAGATTATCAATTGTCACGAACACTTGAACTATTGAACAACATTTAATTTACATTATTCATAGCAATAGGAAATTACAAACAATCAACTATTTTGTATTACAAACATTGAATTTGATAAAAACTAGTACATTATTGTTAAAATTATTTCTCGTGAGACTATAACTCTACTCATCAAATTATTACTTGTCAACTATTTGTACGCTTGCAGGTTTTGTTCGAACACCCCGTCTCCATCCTCAATTAAGGTGGGACGGAGGAGACCCTTACCCGTTTAGCTTCCCATTTATTTTTTAATTATTTTCTTTTATTATTTTAATATTTTTAGTTGGTGAAAATCATTACTTTTTTTCATATTGTAGTAAAATCCATGGTTTTTTAGAAATGATAATTATTTTTTCTTTTTGTGTGACAAAAAATTTGATTTTGAAATGAACTTGAACAGGGCAAAGACCATATTCCCCATACACGTTACGCCCTCATGTACCTGATTAGATGGGGAATCCCATCCCATTCGGGCAAGATCCATCGAGTATCAGGTGTGATGAACTTTTTAATGCCAATGATTACATCTTTGTAAAACACGATCATGTACAAAACAATCGTCCTCTCATTTTTCTTATGTCGGACAAGTTACAATTGATTTTCTTCCAACATTTAAATCACTTTCAATGGGTGCATTTTGAATTTCAATTTCTTATTCACCCGAGTATCGTTTTAGACAAGTATATATATAAATATGATATTCTCATAGAGAAGAATACAAATCTACTTAAATATTCCATAGAGAATAAACAAGCCCCACTTAAAATTATGTCAAATTTCAACACTTTCTTCTTTCTTTCAAGTAAAAAACTTTTTTTAAGTCCCTGTCGGTATGGATTAAACTATAGATTTTAATCTAAGTTAAAGTCAACAATTAATTGTACACACATATTTCATGGGTACCACAATTTTTCAACCACACGTTTCATCAACTTTTATCAAAATCTACTAATAAACTAATTTTAATCCGTACCAAACAGGGACTAAAGTAACTATTATCTTACAATCAAATTAAACAACATATTTTTTAGCTTTCACAATTGAAATATCATTTATATTATATCTTACTTATTTGCTTGGAAGTAAGCATTTTAGTGTGGCCAAACATGCTTGTAACTTGGTCGTGGTCTTCTTAGAAATACCAATCAACATTGAACGTACGTTGCACGTTATAATGAAATATTTTATAAGTGCTATAAAAATAATATTTGAATTTGCTTGAATGTTAATTAATTTATAATTAATATCAGGGAATATATACATAACAATGAATGTTAAATCATTTATTTAATTTTTAATTAAGTAAATATGGATGTTAATTAGTATACATGGACGTGAATAATGAAATATATTATTGAATATGAAACTGAAAATTACAAAAATGAGAATGAATATTAGTTAAATGAACGTGAATATTAATTAATTGAGAATTAATAATAATAATTCATACATTAATGAAAGCACACATGTGAACTGAATGTGTCAAATTTACATACACGTTGATATTAACTAAATGATTAAATAAATCAAATACATATTAAAAATGAAAAGTAATGTATTATTAAAATAATTGAATTATAGTATGACTAAAATCATCCAAAAAATGATTCTCACTTGATGTGATATTTAATTTTAATTAAGTATAATTGGATATTAATTAACGTACATAGACATGAATAATGAAATGCATTTTTGAATGTGAAATTCTAATTAACTTACAATTAAAATTAATAACTTAAATAGATAAACGAAGATGAATACTAATTAAATGAATGTGAATGTTAATTAATTAAAAATTAATAATAGAGAATTTAACATTAATGAAAGTGAACGGGTGAAATGAATCTGTCAAAAGTACTTGTACATTAATGGTAACTACATTGTTAAATAAATTAAATACATATTAAAAAAAGAAAAAATTAATGTATTTTAAAATAATTAAATTATAGTAGAACTAGAATCGTAAAAAAAATAATTTTATGTGATATTTAATATATTATAGATTAATTTAGATAATGAGGAAGAAATGGCCCCCTCAATTTTTATTTTTCTTTTTTGTAATAATATTAAAAGATTTATGACCACCGACCAACAAAAATAGGCTGTAAATAATGGGTTTTTCTAACCGGACAGGGGCCTACGTGGTCCTGTCCATGTAGCAGGGCTCGTAAATAATATTTCTGTTCAAATCAGGCACTTGTATCCCTTATGATTGCAGGTGCTCACTAGACCGAATGCATACATATGCGCGCGCACAATGATATTACGCAAATGGTTCAAAAGCAAACACGTAAAATGATGAAGATTGAGTTAATTCGAAGAAATCCAAATTTCCTAGGTGTCGATTTTCGAGGAACCAATAGCCTCCGAAATATAACCAAAAGTTGCAAATAATTTTTCCTTGCTTACACTTTTAATACAAAATTAAATAAAACGTCGCTCCAGAAACTAAAACTAGGGAGCATTACTTCTCCACAATCCATTATCTCATTTCTATTTGATTATACAAATTAGCTTTTTGACATTTTGTGTTATGAATTTGTAATATTTGTGATATATTAATTTTATGAACAAAGACTAGAAAGCACGATAAACAAAATTCTAATACAATACTATTTAATTTTCTCTACTAAAAACAATATATATGCATTTTCCATTTAGTGACTCGTCGAAACCTTCAGCCTTCTGCTTAGATGTACGTGCATAAATCTTTCCGGAGCGTGCACACTTTGCTTCACGATCTTATTACTATCTAATAATTATAATGTCTTCAGATTTATATTAGGATGTGTTTAATTGGCTTGAAAAGCCTCCTAAAATAAATACTTTCCTTGTTTTAAAGAAAACAAAAACCCACCCCCACCCCCAAACCCAAAGAATTTTTTTTTTTTTTTTTCCCAAAAAACAAGGAAAACTGTGCATATTTTCAAGAGTTTTCCTCCTTGTACCGGGAGGGTGTACAACTCCCCCTACCGGCCTAAAACCCTCCTAAAATAAATACTTTCCTTGTTTTAAACAAAACAAAAACCCACCCCCACCCCCAAACCCAAAGAAATTGTTTTTTTTTTTTTTCCAAAAAACAAGGAAAACTGTGCATATTTTCAAATGTTAGAAAATATTTTTCTTCAAAAAAAAAATACGACAAACACTCTAAAAATTGGAATTTTGGTGAAAAAAAAAAAAGAAGCCATTTTCCATCGAAAATTTTCCAATCAAAACACCAATAAATTTTACTAATTAAATAATGGAAAGGCCAAATATTCTTCATAATAAAAATAAATAAATAAATAAATACCCAGTCATGGCAATTTGACCCAAGAACCGTGAAATACATTATTTTTCTGGATCCCAAGTCATCTTCTATTGTGAATTTAGATTGTCCTATTCATTAAAAAAAATTATCATACAAACCACATAATATACCAGGAAATCCAGAAGTAAAAATATGTTAATTTCCAAGCCATCTATTGACTTTGACACCGTAAAAATCACCCACAAAGTTGGCAGTGATAATAATAAACACAGTAAAAATCACTCTTAAGAGTTCATTTAATTTCTCAATTCCAAAATAATTAAATTTCTTTCAAAACATAACACACAAAGGCTAACAGCACATTTATTGTTCTATAGAATCGAACCCTAGGCAACATCATCAATTTTGCTCTGCCTTCAAATATAAGATTACAATTTCTGGGTTCTGAGATCAACTGGAAGAGACTAACCAACAAATATTGACACCTTTTCTAGCAAAACTTCGGGGAACTTTTGGACAGTAATCTACCCAGAGAACCTTAAAGAAGTTATTTTTCAAAAAAAATCACTGGCACAAGGCAAAAACATGTAACAAACTTGCTGAATAAGAAGAATATCCTTCCCTTCCACGTTCAGCCCGGGAGAAAAGAATCTGAAATGTTTAATAGCACGCCCCAGTACAGCAAATCTAAATCTTGGGCCATGCCTTCTCCTTTGTATTCGATAAAATGCTATTTCACAAATCAATCCGTTGAAAGGACAGCAGGTATAAAAAGCTTCAAGCTGTAATGACAACGTATATTGTCGTAAACACTACCGAAAAAGGATCCTAGGTCAAACGTGGGCTCCTCACAACTATCTCAAAATGACAACAATATAAATGCTGATGATGCAAATATTGAAGAGGCTATTCATTGGAGATGTTGCTTAGCAGAAACTTGTACTACTGAAGGAATATTACACTTGATACTTCAATAGCTTGTCCTTCACGGGTGGCTCCAAGGTAGACATACATTGTTCCCATGCTCCGTTCTTTAGCATCTGGCAAAATAGTCATTGATTTAACAGTGTATGAATTATGTTATCTCCCTAAGAGTAATTAATAAAAATGGTGAACGGCATACTTGGGGGCATTTAGAGGATTGAAACCCCACACTCCCCTGATGAGTGAAGTTTGATTTTGTGGTTAGCATCTTTGGAACGCTTAAAGATCAAACAAATGCTCCCATCAAAGAACAACTTGCTTAAAATATCGGTTCCTTTTTTTCACTCTCTCCATCCTTGCATTTGTGGTGTAGGTATGGTTGAGTGTGCATTTTTACTCTGTTCGTTTCTTTTTTTAATTTTTTTCTCTTTTTTTCCGTGGTGGCATTGTATAACAGGTGAAGATGTTCAAATACAGTTCTCCACTAAAATCTCTTTTGCAAAGTAATTTGGTTCACAACTATCATCATCGCAACCATGATCGAGGTAAAGATACTGTTACTTAGCCTTAAAAGAAGTAACTATTCGGTCAAAACGTGTTTAGATTACCTACTTGTTTCTTAAATTAAAAAAAAAAAATTACCTTCTTTCAGAAGTAACTCTCATCTCAGCTTAAAGTCAAAATAAGTAACTTATCTTCAAGTTCAACCAATAAAAAATTTTAATTTTGAAACTACTTTTAAGTAAACTTTTCAAGCGTTAGGGAACTGAATATATCAGGAAGGAGCTGCTTACTTGTTTATAGCCATGCAACACCTGGCAAACTTCATTGTGTAGGTCCTCGTTCCTAATTTCCTGTTAAAAAGTATAAGATAAGTATGGCAATCAACTTCAGCCTTATTTTAGAAGGTTTTAATGAAAAAAGTGACAGCACGTCACTTACATGCCAACTAGCAATAGCTTTGCACATGAAAACAAAAGAACTCAGAGCTCCAGATGGGTTTGCTCTAACCTGCAAGACACTAATAACATGAAGTGAATGCCAATATTACGGTCAAAATCTCATCGCGCACATGAAAACACCGAGTGCATACCATTGCACATAAACCTCTGAAAGCATCTTCCTTCTCAATATCGTCCCGTATCCTGTCATAAGTAGATAGATAATCAGATATATTTCTAAATAGAGATTTTCATTACCTGGAAAAGGTTACTTCTGATATCTAGTAACCTGATGAACAATGAAGTATCACATGTTGTATGGCAGATACAAAAGTGTATAGGCCATATTCATAATATGACAACTCTGTTTTGGGTTGGAAAAACTGCTATTTGGCAGCATACAACAATTGACAAAAAACTATTGACAACAATGATAGGAGGCACAAGTTCCATAGTCTGCTGAAAATACGCATTGAACAATAAAAAACATGAGTTCTCTACATTTGTTTCAAATTATGTTCGACTTGGTTTTAGGCATGTCAGATGATATTGAACACTTCTGCTCTTTTGTCTTCAACATCTTATCACACTTCTACTCTTTTGTCTTCAACCTTTCTATATTCTATACATTGGAAATCCATTTCATAGTCGGTTAACAGGGAAACAACTTACATGGACAAAGCAAGACACCATGACTGCATGAAATGCTCCATGTGTGGTGAAACAAGCTCTGGACATACCCACGCAATTCTTCCAAGTGTAATCGCACAATTTTCTACGAGTGATTTGTTGAACCCCTACACAATGCAAGTCAACACAATAAGAATAAGACAACGAATGGATTCCTCTTTTTCCAATATTTTACATAACGTGAGATACACATGCATACAATTGCCGCAACTAAACAATACATTGTCACTCTTGATTCTTTCAATCCCAAGTCAGACGTGTCCACATGGCACAACAAGATGCGATTGGTTCCTTCAAGCACAAACACAAATACGACTCTACAACACACAATGCAAGTCTTAGGAACTAAGTAAAAACTAATATTCAGTAACATTTGTCTTCTAATGTTTCCTATTCATCAATTGACATAACCATTGTTGAAGCATCCTAAAATTAATTCACTTAAGTGATAATTAACAAGCCCGTCTATTCATAGTTAAGAACTTTCTTGAACAATTTCCTAGGTGCTTAAAGACCAAGCCCCACAACCAAATTCCATTCCAGAACCTTCTACCCAAGCTTGAGACTCTGTACAAATATATTCAGTGGCTGTTTGGTAGATATTAAAATCAGATTTTTAGTATATTTTGATAAAAGTTGATGAAATGTGTAGTTGAAAAATTGTGAGTCCCATGAAATGTGTGGTTAAAATTAAGTGTTGACTTTGACTTGATATTTCAATTGGATTTTAATCCAAACCAAACATAGGCTCAGTATTGGGTGGTGGATTAAAATGACAAACAGTGACAAAGTGCTTCCAGCAGACACAAAAGCAGAAGTAATATACAAGATTATTATCTCCGACTTTGCCATGGTAATTTTGTTTTCAGAAAATAATAATAAGAATAGAGCTACTTTCCCTAAGAGAGTTGCCACTTGTTTTATTATCAAACAGAAAATTTATTATTTATAGCATCATGGAAAATTTGAAGTAATCAAAGATATGCCTCATGAATAGGAAAATAGTATATGATTCTTATATATGCCACAGTATCTTCATAAAAAAAGCCATAAAATGCAATGAAACACCAAGTGAATGATCACCTCAGGACATTGAAGTATTGGAACCAAGTATGAGATTAGAGTCAACACTATTGACGACATCTCCTTGCGAACCTGAAATTCAAAATATCAATTAGCAGATCGTCAAGCTAATAAAATGATTTCCACTCAATAGATAAAAACATAATAAGATACTCCCTGAAGCAGTGGGATAGCATGCCAACAAATTAAAGGCATTGTTCAAACACACATTATGCTGAAAAACCGAGAAAAACCATTCAAACTGATGTAACTGGATAGAACATGATAAGAATTTGGATTATAATCTTTAAATTACTATTATAAATAGGACATAAAGAGGTCTTCTTTTGCATTTTTCACAAACCCATCATCCAAACATCTGTGTTTCAGGTAAAGGGTTATAAAGCATGAAGAAATAAGTGGCCAAAAATGAAGTGCAGCAATGTATACAAAAAGGACGGTTTGTCTATAGAATTGATAATCATGCCCTAAAAGTGAGTCATTTCCTCAATTTGACAGATACATGACGATGCATAACAAATAACCATACCTTTATTGCTAGTTCTCCAATAGCCCAGCATGCATTGTTGGCAACAGACAGAGTTTCCTTCAGCTTTGTGGTGTTCTGATAGAACATATATTAATTAGACAATGAGCTCTGGGGCTACCGAAACTATTGCCATCAGAATTCAGGAGAGTGATGATTTACTTACCAATTGCTTGGCAGCAACATCAAGAAATTCAGGTAAACGAGAATGCAAATGAACAGGACAGACCTAATAAAATCATTACAAAGAAGAACTATGAATGGGTCTGACTGCATAAAGATTCAACAAATAAAATACACTAGTAGATTGGAAGCGAGGAGGAACTACAAGGCTCTACTCATAAAATAGCATAATCAGGCATGCCCCACGCGCGAGGCTTTCGTTGAACTCCTCGGAGCTTACACCTTCATTGTCATTTGTCATAGCCTACGCCTCAACTCATTGAGGCTGAGGTGTGCAGGTGTTTGTCTTAACTTTTCTAGACGTTTTATTACTGGTCTCAGCATTTTGTTGGTATTTTTAAGCTGAAAGATCATTTTGGATATTAAAAAAACAAGAAGATAGTAAAAACTAGAGACACGTGACTTCGCTGTTTTCTTCTAGTGGAGTATCATTGTTTTCATTTCCTTTTTATGTCTTTACAGGCCATGGTCTTGCTAGTACAGGATAAGAAGAAAGAATGGGAAGTAACTGATCAGTAAGGAGAACTACACAGGATCATACATATGGTGATTATTGTTTTAGAGATTCTATTAGTAAAACGATACTATTATGATATCCCAGAGACGCTCTCTATAAATTTGACACTGAATTCAAGCACCAAAGAATATATATCATAACTAGAAAATGATACATCTTATTATGTTATCCCACAGATGCTCTCTATAAATTTGACATTGAATTCAAGCACCAAAGAATACATATCATGATTAGAAAATGATAGGAGAGAGTACATATTTGATTACTTTGTTAATATTGTCGTTATAGATGGATCTGGTTATATTGTAAGAAAATTTTAGTTATGGATTAATGACTGGGACTTAAATCAGGTGCTCAAGAGTCATGCCAGTTTCCAAAGCTGGACACATTACTCATGCCGTGTCAAGTATCCTATCATGTAATAAGGTAATTGAAGTGTAGGAATAACATAGGTCACAACTTACTCTAGCAAGGTCGCCAAGCAACGCAAAAGCACTTTGGCGGACATCGTGACTATCATCCATGCAACATTGCAGAAGCAAGTCCCTTAGATTACTTTGTGAAACCTGCAACAAAGAACAGTAAAGTAAGAAAATCTCGTAGAAATATTAACTGCTGAATGATGTTCAAGCTATTTTATATATTGATCCTAAAAAAGTCTCAAGACAGAACCATGTGGCATCGACTGTAGCAGGTAAATTCCATTCGCGGTAACTATAATTTCAACAAGATTCAATCAGGAAATTGTACTTCAATTATGTTAAATTGAGAAACTACAATTTCAATCGGCTAACTCCCCTTTAATTTGATTTCAATCAAGTAATTACATTTTAATTTGATCTCAATTAAGATAACTTTGTCTAGTCCAGTTGAAGTGATGAAAATTGATGACATGGAAGCCAATAAATGATTATCATCACACGAGGCCATTAGTTGTTGACGTAGAATAAGAGCAACTTTAGTGAAATAAATGATAGTCATCATTTATTGACAGTTACTTTATCAATTTTCATCATTCCAAGTGATGGAATTGGACATTATTACCTGATTGAAATCAAATTAAAGTGCATTTACCCGACTGAACAAATATGAAGCACAGTTTCAATCATGAAACTGGATGATAGGACAGTTACCATGAATAGAAAGTAGCCGACTATAGAATCGTCAAAATCACGAGGACTTCAATAAAGAACTATGAGAACAGCAATTGGCATTCACAATGACCAAGATACCAATTTATTTTCCCTTGGTAAGAACACAATGAACAAAAAGAGCAACCAGAAGGACTAAAAATATGTAATGGCCTCTAAGAGCTACCTATCCAATAAAACGCCATCCCTTTTCATTTTATTGTCTTTCAATAATTTACTTCAGAAAAAGAGCGTCACTTGTCAAGAATTTTGTTTTTAGAAATTTACATCAGATGAAGAACACTACTGTAGACATATTAAAATTATATGATATGTCTAAATAAGATATTGTAGTGAAAGTAAGTACCAAACTCTCTATCCCAGCACCAAGACCTTCAGCAAGTCCAGAAAGAAGATCCAAAGAACAAACAATGAACTCTTTATCATACTGTGCACCAACCGAAACAGGATCAACCTAAAAGCAAACTCTCAATCAATCAGCTAGTTTTGAAAAAACAAGTAAATAAATAAATTTTGGAGAATTGTCCTAGCTGCAATACATGGACTGCAACTGACACAGAAGAATTTGATATGGTTAGAAATATTTGATAATTACTGGACAGAAATAGAACATCAAATGAAGGGAAAAACCTAATCACAAAGCTGAAGCCTGAAGGTTGTGCATAATAGTGGCAATTAAGACAAGAAAAATGGTATAAGGTAAAGAAAACAAAGTTGGATCTTGTTCAAAATTTCAAATTGAGAATTATATATTCATCGTGGCCACTCTAAAACTATTTGCGTGGATATCAGAGGAAGAACACTCGATCGTACTCAACAAGGACCTACAGAAAATTTCGCGGGTGCATGCCTGCACGTGCATATCTGCATATTTGAGAAACTGAGGAACAGGTTCAGTAAGATTCAGAACTGCTAGTGTCAAATGCTGTAACGTGGTGGGCGTCAACATAGTTGAACAGCTTCATAAATTTTCCAACTCTTCCAAAAGAAATAAAAATTGTCACTGAGAGAATAGGTGTCATGTCAAATTATAACCTTTGCCAACTGTTGAGTCTGGATGATGTTTATGCACCTCTGAAACACTGGCTGGGCAAATGGTGAAAATCCGGGACCCAGTGCCTGAAAAAATACCAATTGCGCACATTGTGCTTCACAACCATGTCCAAAACTAAAATTTAAATGAAATGAAGTATATAATCAGAAACTAAATGGCACAAAAATCCAACAAAAGTACAATCTTATCCAATGCTCCATATAGGAAACATATAATTGGAGCACTAGAAATATGAAAAGTGTCTCTTCTATCAGAGTTAAAGTTATTACTAAGTGCACAGATAATGCTAGATCATACAACTCAACCAAAAATTTCTGTATACCTCGTGACCCCCAGGCCCTTCTTCCAGGGCACCACTAACATAAAAATTTTGGCACTTATATTTTTTTTATCAAAAAGTACTCATAGATGCTAATTAAATATTGACCTTGATTTGTTAAAACTTAACCAGGCTTTACCATGTAAGTACTTGGCACTACTTTTCTGTATTCTGGTTAATCAGTGTCAAATTGATCAAAGTGTCCATACTAAGAAACAATTTCTGACAAATGATGAATTGGAAACTATTTAAAGCAGTAATTAAGCCACAAGATCACCAAAACTACCAAAAGATACACATTCAATTACCTTCATGTAGAAGACCAAATACCTTATATGAACTGAACATGACACACAAGATAAACATGTACCTGTGCTATTGATGTAAAGCATTCTAGCAGTGGGAAAAGATCTTTGTCCGAGTTGGAAAGTTGCTGCCATTTTGCAATCAGTGGTGGCATCAAGATTTCAAGATGTTTGGGCTGCAGTATCACCACAATAAAATCAGCATTATAATTAGTTCATACAATGCTGAAGGTGAAAAAAGCTCTTTATACAACAGTACGCCTGCCGAAAATAGAAATAGGAAAACCCATGCATGCACTGTTGATCAATTCTACCTGATTCAGTTCACCAACAACAGCATCTGCTAATGTTCCAATAGCATCATATACAATCCTGATGTTCCGTCTCTGTAATGAATGATACTATACTGTAAGAAAGAAAATAGAGACACAAAGGGAAGAATAGACACCGGGAGCTGCGATGGGAATTTTAATATCTCATCAAAAGGTATGACCTCAACAAATTATATAAAGCTAGAACAGTCAACGAAAGGAAAGTATGCCAAACCTGATATTTTCCAAAGGCACACATTAAGTGTTGCAAAATGATATCCAATCGTGGTGCTAACTCTTCTGCAGCATCCTGCATTTATGGAAGTAAGTTGGTATGAACAGAATGAAGATGAGGATCCAATTGCATATAGCTTTCTTAAGATACCTCTTCAAGTGTTGCAAAAGCTGAACATGCAGCCTCTTGCACCCGCTTGTTATCATCCAATATTCTTCTTAGAAGGCCCATAAGAACTTTGTCGAATTGCTCACGGCCTTGTTGATGATCAATACCCTAGAACGGACAGAAAGTGCTGCAATCTTTAAAAACAATCACAAACATGGCTCTTTTGGCAAATCAAGGAGCCTTTGCAGCTATAAAGCAGAAAAAAAACTGATAAACCAAGAAACCACAGACATCATACTTCATTAAAGCAATAAATCTTCTTTTGCATCTGGGAGCCTCCCAGACCACCGTAAGTGGCATAATCATCTGACAGGCGATTGTGATATCCAATCACCATGGAAAAATAACACAATCACAATTTTCACTCTAACCATTACAAAATACCACATCATTGTGACCATTTATTTTTCTAGCTGGATTTAGGATAGAATGTTTATAGAGAGGGGACATTTAACATTGACAGGTGGCAAGCCCAAAGTAAACACTGCATTTTCCAACCATATTGAACCTGGTCCGTGCTTGATTATCTACAAAACCCTGAAACCGTCCCTCATAGTGATATCCTCCAAGAGTAGCAGATTTGGTGTACTCTTGAGGAGACTAGATTCAATCCCACTTGGGGGAAACCGCTGGTTTCAGTTTATTTTATTCAAAAAAAGTTAATATAATTCTATAATGAAACCTTTCAGACGAAAGGGAGCTGTATCCATATCAACTAAGGGTCCGTTTGATTGCAATGATGGAAAATGGGTAGAAAGAAAATGAATTGTTAATTAAGTGTGTTTGAATGGTATAATTTTCCACCCGAAAAATTTTTAAATTTTGTGTTCGTTTGGCTTTCGTTTGCATCAAAATTGTCCATTAAAGTGATAATTTTTCCACACTTAGTTATAAAATTTGTTTCCATCGCCAAAAAGTTTTAAAAAAAAGGAAAAAAATGTTTCTTAAAAAATCATTTTTTTAATCAAAGTTTAGTGTTCATTTGGCCTTCGTTTGCATCAAAATTGTCTATGAAAGTGAAATTTTTTTTACACTTGGTTATGAAATTTGTTTCCATTGCCCAAATTAAAAAAAAAAAAAGACAGCAGAACGTGGAATTCCATTTTCCCACCAAAAAGGTGGGAAAATGAATTCCCTAAAAACATGGAATTGTGGCGCGTGGGGCATGGGGTGGGAATTGGGTTTGCCTAGAAAATACTACCTATCAAACATGTCAAAATCAAGGAAATGGAATTTTATTTCCAACTTCCAAGGAAAAAATGGTCAATCAAACGGAGCCTAAGAGTCTTGTGAAGTGTTGGTTGACGAAATCCCCAATTGATTGAGGGAAGATTGATGTCGATTCTAGTTACCATAGATAGAATATTATGATTGTTAGAGATTAAAGGAGATTTATTTTTTCCTTTTCTACGTATTCCTTTTGTATTATAAATAGAACTCGTTCGTTGTACATTATATGTGTGGAAAAATAATAGAAGATATTTTTTCCTAGTCTTGTCTTCATCTTCTACATGGTATCAGAGCAAGGAAGATGACAGAAACTGCAGCCAATAACAGGGGTTCAATGACCTCTAAATCATTGAACAGCGACACAGAAGCCACCTCTGCCGTGAGTGGAAGAATTGAAAATTTTTCATTCCAATTCATGATAGAAAAACTGAACGGAAAGAATTACAGAGAGGGGGCGCAGTCTATCAAACTAATAGTGGATGAAAAAGGGAATATTGGGTACTTCACAGGAGAGACGAAAATGTCAACCTCAACCGACACTGTTCTTCTTCGAAAATGGCAATCGGAGAACTCCATGGTGACTGCGTGGCTCGTCAATTCCATGAAACTCGCAATTGGAAAAACTTACCTGTTCTTGCCCACCGCGAAGGACGAATGGGAAGCAATGAGAGATGTATTCCGACGCTTTAAATTTTTCCAAAATTTTCGAAATTAAATCCATGTCGCAAACCAAGCAGGGAGAATGCGAGGTAATTGATTATTACCTTGAAATGACAGCGTTATGGCAAGAGCTCGACTCGAGTTCCGAGGAAAAATGGAAGTGCCCAGACGACAGCGTCTACTACCGGAAAAAATTGGAGAACGAAAGGGTATTCAAATTTTTGGCTGGGCTTAACCGTGACTTGGACGACGTTCGCGGTAGGATGCTCAGTCAAAAACCTCTACCGTCGCCGCGTGAAGTGTTTGCAGAAGTCAGGAGAGGAGAACCGGCGTAAAGTGATGATGAACCGGATCGGTGGTGTGGCTACTGGAATTGGACCTAGACTCAAAGCTTCTGGCCTAAATGTGATGGGAACTAGGCCTCAAATTAATGGGCCTCCAAATTTTAAAGGCGGGCCAGCATACTTTCACAAAGAGGTTGCAATTAATGAGGGGCCATTTACTCTAATATTGGCCTGGAGGAGTGAGCCTGTATTCAAAAGGGTCAGCTAGTGGGTCAAACTCAAAACAACAAAAAGGTCGACCTTGGTGTGAACACTGTCAGAAAACAGGACATAAGGACACGTGTTGGGATCTACACAAAAAGCCAGCAGATTGGAAACCGAGGCAAAGTAACAGAAATCGAGGATACCAAGTGTCTATTGATTATCCAACAGGGAAATCCAAAGAATCCAGTGGGGCCTTTAACTCGGAGCAAATGGAGCAACTCTACAAAATGATTTCTAGCCTTCAACCGTCAACTTAAGCTGCTAAATATAATCCTTCATGCTCTCTAGCTCACAGGGATAATTTTTTGAGAGCCTTAAAATCCACTACTCAATCTAAAACGCCCTAGATCATTGACTCGGGAGTCTCTGATCACGTGACGGACTCCAACCACCTATTCTCTTCATATACATGTGCTGGTAATCTTAAGGTTAAGATTGTCAATTGTTCCCTATCGACTTTTGTAGAAAAATGGAGTATTCAAATTTCTGATTCTATAACTTCAGAACAAGTCCTTCATGTTCCAAATCTATCATGCAATTTACTATCTATAAGCCAGTTAACAAAAACTTCAAATTGCTCCGCTAAATTTTTTCCATCTCACTGTATTTTTCAGGACCTATCATCGGGGAAGACAATTGGCAGTGGTAAGAAAAGTGAAGGACTCTACTACTTTGACAAGGTTGATGTGAGTAACCAGTGTCAATTTAAAATTTGTGATTCTACGTCTGTTCTTAGAGAGTGAAATTATGTTATGGCATTTTAGAATGGGTCACCCGAACTTCCAACACTTGAAACGTGTATTTCCCTCTATTTTTATGAATAAACGCAAGTTCATTATCAATGTGAAATCTGTGAGTTAGCAAAACATCAACGAACGTCGTTTCCAAAATCCATATACAAACCATCAAAACCATTCACAACAATTCATAGTGATATATAGGGCCCCTCACGAGTCTCAAATCGTACCCACAAAATGGTTTGATACTTTTATTGATGACCACACTCGAATTTGTTAGGTCTACCTACTCAAAGATAAATCTGATGTCTGCTCCATGTTTATCAACTTCCATTCCATGATCTAAACGCAATTCCAAACACAGATTCAAATTTTACATACTGATAATGGCAAAGAATACTTTAATACCATCATGGGTAACTTCCTTCAAACACATGGAATAATCCATCAAAGCTCTTGCATCGACACTCCTCAACAAAATGGGATTGCTGAATGCAAAAATAGACACCTTCTAGAAGTTGCCCGTGTCTTAATGTTTACTATGAACATGCCTAAAATGTTTTGAGGGCACGCTATCCTTACATCCGCATATTTAATCAATCGAATGCCCAGTCGAGTCCTAAATTTTGAGACGCCACTCCAAAAGTTTCAGAAATATTTCCCAACGTCTCGACTCAACTCTAATTTATCCCTAAGAGTGTTTTGGTGCACTGCAGTCATTCATATTCACTCTCATCACAGAAGTAAGCTTGACAGCCGAGCTATTAAATGTGTCCCGATTGGATACTCTCCTACACAAAAAGGCTACAAATTCTATGACCCTTCCACGAAAAAAACCTTTGTAAGCATTGACGTTACCTTCTTCAAAAATACTCCTTACTTTAATAACACCTCTATTCAGGGGGAGACCTTACATGAAAATCGGTTCTTTGACTTCAACCTCTCCCCTCCTGAACCCCTCCCACCATCTGAATCTAGTATGTCATTTACAGAAGGGAACTTGAATTCAGGGAGAGACGCGGAAAAACAAAATGATAAGGAGATACTGGTTTATTCAAGAAAACCAAAATCAAAGAACGTAGAGGATCTCACCTCTGAAGCACCAAGAGAGTCAGAACCGATGGTAGCTCCAAAACCTCAAGGTATCGGATACAGACTTACCCATTGCTCTCAAAAAACAAATAGTCATGTAATCTTCACCCTATTTCAAAATTTATGTCATCTAATGCTTTATCTACAAGATTTCGTGCCTTCACTACTCACCTTGACAGTACAGTGATCCCAAGAACTATTCAGGAAGCCTTGGAAATTCCAAAATGGAGAGAAGCAGTATTGGAAGAAATGCGAGCATTAGAAAAAAATAAAACTTGGGAACTAATGGATTTACCAAAAGAAAATAAACATGTTGGATGCAAATGGGTCTTCAATTTGAAATACAAAACTGATGGGACAATTGAATGGTATAAAGTTCGGTTGGTGGCAAAAGGATACACACAAACTTACGGTATTGACTATACAGAAACATTTGCACCAGCGGCAAAACAGAATACAATTCGAGTCCTTCTATCGTTAGCAGCGAATTTGGATTGGTCACTTCAGCAACTAGATATCAAGAATGCATTCTTAAACGGAAAGTTAGATGAAGACGTATTCATGACACTACCACTAGGATTTTGCAAGGTAAATGAAACAAATTGGGTATGTAAACTGAAAGTCCTTATATGGACTCAAGCGTCACCAAGAGCATGGTTTGACAGATTTGCGAAAGTGTTGAAAAGTCAAGGATATTTTCAAGGACAATCAGATCACCCCATGTTTCTTCGACCATTTAAAAATGGTACTAAAGTTATTTTGATCGTATATGTCGATGACATTATTCTGACAGGTGATAATATAGTTGAAATGGAAAGACTAAGAAGAGCTTTGTCACTGAATTTGAAGTAAAGGATTTGAGACCATTACGATACTTCTTGGGAATGGAAGTGGGCAGATCTCGAAAAGGCATTAGTGTATCACAACGAAAATATGTACTTGATCTTCTAACCGAAACAGGCATGCTTGGATGCAAACCAAGTGATACACCAATAGATGTGGGAAAGAAAGTTGAAAATTGAGGAAAGCTAGTAGAAATTGACAGATATCAAAGACTGGTTGGAAAACTAATCTATCTATCAGAAATGAAACATGACATCGCATTTGCAGTTAGCCTGGTAAGTCAAGACATGCATTCTCCGAAGGAAAGTCACCTAGAAGCAGTTTATAAGATACTCAAATATCTCAAGGGATTCATAGGAAAGGGGCTACTCTTCAAAAGGAGTGAAAGGAAAGGAGTAGAAGTTTTCACAGATGCAAACAGGGCAGGTTCGATAGAAGATAGGAGGCTGGTTATTGTACATTTGTATGGGGAAAGTTAGTAACATGGAGAAGCAAGAAACAGAATATAGTAGCCAGAAGTAGTGCAGAAGCCGAGTTCAGAGCCGCTGCACAAAGATATGCGAGGGATTGTGGTTGAGAAGGCTTTTAGAAGAACTACATGTCACTATAAAGTTGTCAATCAAACTCTACAGTGATAATAAAGCAGCAATCAATATTTCTCTTAATCCAGTTCAGTATAACCGAACTAAGCATGTAGAGGTGGATAGACACTTTATGAAAGAAGGTTGAGGAAGGAACTATTTGCATGACTTATGTCCCTACACAAGCACAGATTGCAAATGTTGTCACCAAAGGACTACCTAGATAAAAATTCGATGATTTCATTTTCAAGTTGGATATGATTAACATCTATGATCCAACTTGAGGAGGAGTAACGAAATCCCTAATTGATTGAGGGAAGATTGATGTTGATTCTAGTTACCATAAATAGAATATTATGATTGTTAGAGATTGTAGGAGATTTATTTTTTCCTTTTCTATGTATTCCTTTTGTATTATAAATAGAACTCGACCATTGTACATTATATGTGTGGAAAAATAATAGAAGATATTTTTTCCTAGTCTCGTCTTCATCTTCTACATTGGTTGTTACCAACAACTCGAGAACCCATTCAGTAATTCACCTAATTCAACATCAATGCTTCCATGGGCATATTTGTCTTTATTCTGTGTAATGTCTATTTATTGAGTCTGGCCTTATTGTTAGTAACAGCTTTAAATATGTTAGCCAAATATAATACTTCCAAATATTGTGATGCAGTAAACAATTTCTGGAAAAACAGGGGCATACATAACTCTGTAATCCATTGTAAGAAAAGTGTAAAAGTTACCCTCAAGTTTCATCGGAAAAGCAATAAGCAGTTGTGATATCTTACCTGAACAATATATTTGCTGAACCGGGATAGAGTCCAACAAGAGATACTTCGAATCAGAGGAAAATTGTCGTCTAAAAGTGGGATGAGAAATGTAATAATCTGCAGAACAGAACACGGCAAACGACTCTCCAGATAAACAAGACCAAATTATTGAAAAAAACCACGACCATAAGAAAAATGGACAAATAAAAGAATAAACACATGTCCCACCGAAATAACGAATGCATAAACCAAACATCACTGCGAAGATAAAACATCGCAATGTTAGTTGTAGTCAGGAAGCATCAAAGACAATAAAACCTAGGATGCAGATAAAATTGCGAGTGTTAGATCAAACTGTCTGATACTTCACTCAGTGTTTTCATGGTAGCTTAACAGGCACATGGAGAGGTGCCCAAGCAGATTAATATTAAGTTGCACAGAATTTTATTGCAAAAAGTGGAGACATTATTATGCATAAGATGATGGTCAAACCAAATGTTGTATTCTATAATATGTTGAAGCATCCAGGATCTCATTATAAACATCAGATCTTCAAAGCTACTATACATGTCAACAGCTCTTATCTCATAATTCAAATTACATTGCCGTGGTCAACCAGGCGGACCGTTTCGAAATATAAGCAATTCACCTAATCTTATTGACTGTTGAAAATATTGCACTTTGTAAAAAGTATCATCATTCTAAAATTGACAATTTCTGAATTTACACATGTTCACAGAGGAGAGACCATAACAATGAATGAGGTATTTGTCCAACAGTAGAAATCTTCCCAGCACAAAGCACTCCAACCAAAACAAATGTAAATGATGAAGAGATGTGCAGTATTCCCGTTTTATAAATGCTAGACATGACTGCCCATTTTAAGCTGTTAGGTCACAAAAGGTAAAGGAGGACAGATACTTGACACAATGCTAATATGAGAGTTGATGAGCAAAAAACAACAATGAAAACAGACAATACAAGTGTAACTGGCTAGATATCAAAAAACATTTATACTGTATACAAATGTGTTTTTAGTCTCATTTAACAACTTCCTTGGCTAATCTGCATATAAAAGCAACATAAAATTATCTAACCAATCTTATCAGAAATTTACCTCCGGCAAATGAGGATAGAGACCGTTCATGCAACCCTCAGCTATGGCACCAAGAGCTAAAACTGCAGCTTCCCTGTCTTTCCAAGTTGCATCGCCAGTAGTGGACAAATTAGCCTGTGAAAAGAAGTAAATGACAGAATTTTCATTCTATATGAAAAAGAATGAAGCTTGGATTTATTGATGCAAGATATCAATTAGAATAGAAAGTTCCATTCTAGGATAATCAGTAGTTCACTAATGATACACCAAGGGATTACACAAGCCATGTAAAAAAAAAGTCTCAGAATCCTCCACCCCCTGTAGCACGGATACTTCAACTAGAGTAGCGTGTCCGTTTCCGACATGTGTCGAATACCGGTACTCCTCGAACAATCTACAATGATCATTTTTTTCTTATTTGAAATATTATACATTTTTAACTAAAATTTATTAGTTAATAACAAATATGTATTCATTATTAAAATATTTCAATAAGAAGTATAAAACTAAATTTATACTATATAAATGAAGTATTTTAAAGAATTTAATCAACGTGTTGATGATGTATCGTGTTAGTACTTTTTTGAAAATATTTTCATTCATTGCTAAATAACTTGAAAATTTTCGAGCCATCTTCAATATCAATGGAGCAATCTAACGATATGCGATTATCACAACATCAAACAAGTTTACACCTCTTATGATTTGATTTAAAAGAGTCGTGTTATTTGTTTGTCAAAAACAAATATCTCAAATCTCCGTGATGCAAACTTTGATCAACATCAGAGAACTTGTATCAAATCACAACAACAAAATAATTTCAATTCCTATATAGGGTCAGCTGCATTAATCATATTTTGCCTTCCCATCCAATACATCACTAAATCTACAGGAACTTAAGTCAAATCAACAAGTATAATTCAAGTTCCATAGGTTAATGCATGCAAAGCAAAAGGAGAATTTGCGGTTTGATACAATCAGGAGAATTACACCAATGCAGACTCCTATGAAGCACGGACACTTACTAGGGTGGCGTTTATGTGTCTGAAACGTTGTGCCCAACACTCCTTGGAAAATCTACTATAGTCATGTTTCATAATTTTGCCCGTAGTAATATATGATGTAAGTCAAAGAGTTACATTAGCCCCTGGCCATTATTTTGAGAAAATAGAGTTTTGAATAATGATTTTTTTGGAGAATGTAAGATAAGGGAAAAGTTTTTGGTTTACGTGCAAAATATTTTATCGTGTAAATGTTTGCTTGAAAATGAGTAAATAGTGTTGAAATAATGGTTATCAAACCAAGGCTTAATATGACAAATGGCTACTGTTATTTAGAAGATGGAAATTTAAAAGAACAAATTTATATATTTTATTGAAGTTTAAAAAGTATAAAAACAAAGATATACTACATGTACAGTTTTAAAGAGTTTAAATCATCATGTCCTACTTTTTCGAAAAATCAAGTATGAGCGAGTCCATACCATGTCGTCTCACATCCATGCTTCTTAAGCAAACTCAAATAGAAAAGATCTATGGTTATCACTAAACCTTCAACTAAATAATATAAACTGGAATATTTAGGATAGAGAAGGAAAAATAGAAAAATAATTCCCTACGCCTCTATATTCATTGACATGTAAATCAAATATCTACCTGTATAATTGGCATCAAAGCGGATAGAATCTCATCTCCAAACACATTAGATAAAAAATCCAGGGCAGCTGCACTGCACTTCCGTAAATTCCATACATTGACAATGTCGTCATCCTGGTCAACAATAGGAGGAAAGTTGGCCCAGAAATAAGGGATCCAGGCCATTGCAAGTAAAAGCTCAAGTCCACCCACCCATCTATTTCAACCAAATCCATATAAATAATGATAAAATAAGAGAAGTTACCTCATCTTCAGCATCTTCTGACCCATGAAAACGCGATGAATGGAAACGAGGCTTCAGATCCTGCCCCCACATAATTGCTAATGAGAAATATTTGAAACGAAACTAAAATCAGAAGGATATCATAAAGGCATATGGAAAATTGACAACTGAACCTGATCTCTATCTGGAAGAGATCCATCCACCTGCAATGACAAAGTAACAAAGAAAAATCAAGGAGCATTAATTTGTCGTCCACCTTATTGAATAAAGAAGTAGATTCAGGATATGAAACCAGCAACAAAACCTCAGCATCCACAAGCGATTCGTCATCATCAGCATAAGCCATGTTCGACAGCAATACCTGCAGAAGTAGGGGTAAATTCACCTACAAATATGAAGAAAACTCTCATTTAGTGAAAAGCTGATCACGTCATAAATTGTACCGGAATAAGACGTGGCAAGAACTCTCTCAAGTTTTCAGGGGGCAAATCAGCTTCACAATAAGCAGACCTGTCAATCAACAAGTGAGCAGCTAAATAGTGAAAATAAATATAAAAATCAAGAAAACTCATCATTTAAGAGTAGAAAGATGGTTTAACCAAAAAGAATAAATGCCTCACAGTAACTGAACAAGCCAAAAGCAATTATGAATTACCAACATAAGCTAAAGATCTTATGTCCATCTGCAAGGTAGCTAATTGAGTTTTAACCGGTACAACTAAAGACATTGATTTAATAGGTCATATAACAGTTTGTCATAGAATGATAAGTTCACCATCTTTTGATTTTAAGTACAGCTATAGAAACCTAGGAACTAGACACTCAACTTGAGTGCTTGAATTACTCCTTAAACAAAGAGGTTAGAAAACGCAATTTTAATTCCCAAAACAACAAAAACCCATTACAAAGGTGATTAATCTCAGCACCCCCATGCGAACTGGCTCATATCATTCAAGCTCACCCTGATGGGGAGAGAACGAAATTCAAAGCTCCATTATCCTCATTAAGCAAATACATATAGACGGGAAAATAGTGTGCAATCAACTAGAATATGATAGAAATATAAGCAGCCTCCATATGATAAAGGATCACATTCAAGGGAATCTTCCTCATCAAAAGATCAAATTCAAAAAACTGTTAGGTCTCACATCTCAATATATATGTTATGATTTGAAACATTGCAAGTATATGTCCACTCATAAACTCAAATATAAAAACTCTTCAGTAGCAGTTATAATTCAAAACCATCTAATACATTCTTAAAATAAGTAGTTAAAAAGGTCCTTTCTAATCCTCGAAAATCTGAGAAATATTCTGATACTCGAATGGAGACAGAGTAATTATCTATAAACCCACCAACCAGAAACTCCCCGACAAAATTCTTATCTAAGCAAAGAGAAAGGAATGCCTCAATAATGTGGAAACTAAAAATAGTGCATCAGACAAAAAAGTATATATCTTTGTTTTCCTTTTGTCAAAACTGAATTAATGAAAATCATTTGCAACGAAAATTACAATAGACTAAATGACAACCTTAAACTACTATATGAGCAGGACCTGACAAGATGCACAAGATTCGTGGCACAAAGATAACGTCACAAATAATTTCTAGATCTAGAAGCATTCTCAATTTTAGCAAGTGAATCAACTTCACTTTTGACACCAATAGCATTAGATAATTCAATAGCCAGCTCAAAATGGAAAAGGTGAAAGAATAGCACAGATTTTCACCCAGTTTAAAAGGCAGCTACCAAGATATTTGAACATCTAGACCAAAGAGCAAAAAAATTACCAGAATTCACAGGCTTCTAGAGCTACTTCATCGTCAGAATCCTTGTTAACTAGCAACATATATTCTATTACATTCCTTAAATGTGGCTGCATAATTAAATCGGGAACTTTATAAGGGAATAGCAGCAGGTGCAAATAGGAATATTAGTGAAGAATAAATTATCAATTATCATCAGATTTTGCTAATTTTTTAAATAAAAATTAAAAAAAAAAACGTGAGGACTGGTGACATTTGAAACTATTTGACATACTACATTTGACAGATAGATTTTGACAAGAAAATGCGCACCTCCAAGACAGCTGAGCGAATTTCAATAAGTTGAACAAATGCTGAGCAGACCTGTTCAAACAAGGGCAGAAAGCTAAATGAAGCAATCCCAATTATTCAGTTAGATACAGCTTGCTTAGAAAAAGACTACAAATTATAGAATCATAGATATATCTGACGATGACAATTTTTATGACATGAAATTAAGGTCAATCTGCAAAGAAACAGATATACAAAACTAAGGCTTGTGAACAGTACGCTCAAAATAAGACTTGCAGGCCCAAAATCAGTCTGGGCTGCAAACCGAGCCAGAATGCAAGTCATAGGAAAAGTACAACCTCTTAAGACAAAACTCATTAACTCAACAATACTTTGTCACTAAGAAACTTAACATTCAAGAAAACTAGGATGCCTCTCCCCAGAGGCATGTATTGAATAACAGTCATCCTACTTCAGCATTACAAATTGTGGTCATCCAAGTCACTAATCTTTGCAACACACTGGCTCATTTATTGGAAGATTAATATGTACCTAGATTCATCATAATAAACTAAAATCTTGCAAGGTAAAACAAATACCGATCATGAAGTGGTGAATAATAATTCAGCCAAAATGAAGAACCCGTACATACCTGCCAATTTATTGGCACTATATCCTAAATTTAAAAAAAAACAATAATACTTATAACAACAGTGACAGGGGAAACGAGAGTGTAAATGTAATTGCTCAGTACATCCTTATACATTGATTCAAAAGTATGATGCATTTGACTCCTGGGGATTAAAAATGACAACAAGAAAAAGTCCTTACCAACTTCCGCACCTCTGGAGATGGATCATTAGCAAGAACAAACAAACCTTGCAGATATTTATCCATGGACATATACAATACCTGGTAAGAGATGACATTTCAGCTCTTTCAGATTGAAATAAGTCCTAAAGGAAAGACAGGGAAGTTACAGTTCAAAGTCTAACTGAGTTGTACTCACTGTAGGCATGAGCATGATGAATTGGTTCACAGCACCTAAGGAAAGCTTTCGTAGTGTAGTCTGTGGTGATTGGAAAAGCTGTTTGCAGATTAAAAAAGATAAACATGGAAAGTGTTAGGAGGTATTTGATTGAAGATTGACTAAAGAAATCTTATAATATTTAATTAGCCCAACCAATATGAACAAACTACTTCTGTGGGAGTGGTTGGGTTAAGGGGAAAGCGGAGAAGGATAAAAATGCGAGAACCTGGAGAAATCTAGGAAGAAAAACATTGATAGGTCGTTCAGATAATCCAGAAATATCACCATCTAGCAATTGTGGTACATCTTCACAAATCTGCGTCAAATCAAATCTTCGAAAGTGTTATCCAGATTCAACTAGATTTGGCAGTAATTATATCACCAAAATAGACAGCTGCCTTCACAAAACGGTTTATGAGTGAGAATTTACAAAAGAAGGCAACAGGCAGTAACAGACCTATAGTTTCAGATAATAAAAAATTATGCATAAAGAAGTTGTCACGGAATAGATTTTATATAAACTACAATGATACGTAAAATATTTGCGATTTACATATAATTCAGAGAGACGAAATATATATACCTTAGACAAAGCATCCATAGCACCTTCCATGTGATTGGGATCATTACTATCTAAGCACTTTACGAGTGCGTGCAGCAATTCAGGCCATCCCACAACTCCACCAATCTGAACAAAAGCACTAATGATGGTTCCAGCTGTAGACCTGATTTGCCTATCTGAGGCTCCCATACAAGGTAACAACTCTGATTTTATATAATGTTGGTTTGCAGGTGGCACGGTTTCGAATGCGCTTCTAAGGTTATTTTTCAGAAGCAACCCTGCAGCTTGCCTAACCTCCACTGGTTTTCCCTGTCGTATAACATTCAAGTTCACTTTATTAACTAAATTTGGAAAATATTCCATCATGAAGGCACATTAAACTCAGAATTGTAAGAATTATCATTTGTTGACACTAAGCCACATGTTTGAGGTAAAAATGATTTGTAACATAATTCACTCAGTATTCCTATCTACTCGCATGCAAAAGAAAAATTTATAGCTTTCCACAAAAAGATTGTTATAGTGCCTATGTAAGATTAAAAGAGATGCTCAATCTGACATAAATATAGATCTATTGAAGTCCTTAATACATGCTCTGAAATTATAGGAAAACATGATTAGACAGATTAAGAGACGTAATTCAAAAAGGTCTTCAGAAAACCAGTTTGGTTCTATTTTAGGGATATCTACTGTTGAAGTCATTTAGCTAATCCAAATATTGATAGAGAAGTACAGAAACAACATTTTCACTTGTTTCTGCATTAATGTAGAAAATACCTAGGATAGGGGGTTCACAGAAGTGATACGGCGAGCTCTAGAGAAGGAACTTTTATTAGAGATTCATATTATTAAGGACACATATAATAAAGTAGTCTACAACTTAATATTCAATGGGAATAGCAGTAGAAAATTTCCTATTGCTACAGTAATACATAAACATTTTCTCATTAGGCCTTTTCTTTTTTCTTTAGTCGTAGATAAGATTCCACGACATGCCCAGGTTGATCTTGAGGCGCATTATTCACAGATAACATAGCTTTAATTTATATGGCCAGGGGGGAATAACTCGTAAGTTAGATCTTTGGAGGGATACTTCAAGTGGAGGTTTCGGAATCTTAAGGTTGTAGATTAACTAGAAGTAGGAATATATAGAATGCCATTTTAGTCATACAAGAATATATTACAAGGGACTGTCCCAAAAAATTGATGTTTTAGGTGCTTAGATTCAATTATGCATTAGACATGAGGATTTGAAAAGGATACTAGAGCAGTTTGAAATACCAACAGAAGGCACATACAAAGCTAAAAGACGAATTCTCTAGAGTGGTTATTGGAATAACTATACTTTGGGATATCAAGCCCCTGGTTGACAACCATTTTTACAAAACTCTTTATTTTTCAAACTCATTTTCAACCACACATTCTCACAATGAAATATTTTGCACGTAAACCCAAAATTTTTTAGTGCTTCTTAACCGCACATTCTCCAAAAAAATCACTATTCCAAAAAATCATTTTCCCCAAAAAAAAAAAAACTCTTTTTAACGGTTGTCAAATAGAGGCTATTGCGACAGTAAAGGATAAAGTATCAATAAGATGGAAGTAACACAAATAAGAATGTTAAGATGAATTGGTGAGCATACTAGTGTGCATAACATAAATATATGCCAAGTGCCTACAAGTAAAGATGATACTAATGAGGATAAATCAAGGAAAGGAGAAACATGCATGGCTTGCGTAAACCTAATGAAGCTCTTGTTTACTTGTAGTAATAAAACAATTTAAAATAATCTTGATTGATGTGGTTGCGAAAGATTCTATTACATTAGATGCTTGTTTGGGAGTGCTCGCATGG